GTAGAAAAAAATGAATTTCAAAATGCTTATGTTTCGCTTCTTGCTTAGGAACTCAAGTATCCCATCATTTATATTAGAAATTAAAAAGAACACATTTTTTAAGAATTAAAAAGAACACATTTTTAATTAATTACGTAGCTAATTTTGCTTTTGCTAAGAGCTGTTTCGCAAATTGTGCTTTATAGCATTATTTGCATTATAATGCTCTTTGTACGAAACCACTCTTTCAATATTTCGGCTGTGTGGCAAGGAGCAGAATCTTGCTGAAAATAAACGAAGCTTGTTGGGAAAAAGGATATCTGATGGAAGGTAGAAGTTTTGGTTCTGAATATTGTAATGTATTTTCTGGAATTCAGTTGCCTATTGATGACATGAAGGAGACAATACCATCTGCTGACTGCATGACCGAATCCTACACTCATGGGTTCTTCACGTTGCTTGAATGCAGTCAGATGTAGTTTCTCCGATTCTACCTTACATATTGGCCCATCATACCGAATAACAATATATAGGTTTCATCACTCCCATATAACTTGGACCACTGATCATCTGTCCATTAATGTGTTCCTTTGCCCACTGTAGTCTTTTTTTTTTTCGTTGGAAAATTAAGATAAGGCTTTTTGCGTGGTATTCTACCCCGTCCAACATCGTTAATCTTTTCCTGATACCTTGTTTATTTTCAAATTCAAAATATTATATAATAAGTTGCCAAAATGAAAACTTTATGAAGCGAAATAAAAAATATTTTTTTTATTTTTTTTTTAAACATAACTTAAATATATTACCATTATTTTAATGAAATTTACATAAAAAATCGTCGAAAAATTCTCAAATCTCGGAATTAAAAATTTTCTATACAAACTGATCTTAAAATCACCAAAATGTTGTCAAATTTAGAGCTGTTTAATAAAAGAATTCACATCCCCAAAAGTGAAAAGTTGTTCAAGACCTCTTTAGTAGAAAAAATGAATTTCAAAATGCTTATGTTTCGCTTCTTGCTTAGGAACTCAAGTATCCCATCATTTTATAGAATAGAAAACAAATTATAACCCTGGACCATTCAAAGATAACCATATATGTCAGTGAATTGCCAAAACTATTCCTCCAAAATGCTAATTCACGCTCAAAATGGCAATCGTAAAAACAGACAAATTTCAGATGACTAAAATTAAGGACCTTCTGCTGATTTTGGCCAAAATTAAGGACTTTTAAGGGCCAAAAATCAATTCCAAAAATTCTAAGGACTCTTAAGGACTATACAAACTCTGACGGATGTATGATTAACTATTAGAGTTATTACTTTCCTTTGTATAAATATACAGTGGTGGCCAAAATTGTGGACACTTTTGGAATTTTTTATGTTTTTAAACTTTGTATGCTTATAGAAAACGTTACGTTTCACAAACTGCAAACTTGTATATTTCATTTTAAAGAGAATTTATTACTGAATTCAATACAAAACACAAAATTCAATTATTTGCAATACAAAAAATATAGTTATCGATGTACATTAGTGATGATTGCAGGAGTTATCAGAGTACTTAGTAGGGTACCTTTATTTTTGATTACAGCTTCAATTGATGTTTCATTGAGCTGACAAGAGTTTTTTAAGCTCTTCTTGCTTCTTTCGTTATTACATGCCAGGAAACAATTATAGCCTCAATTTGTTCCCTTTTATTTGATGAGTGCCTCATTCGGACAAGAGTTTTTAAACGGTGCCACAAATTTTCGATAGGATTGAGGTCAGGACTGTTTCCTGGCCACGACAAAAATTTAATGCTCTTTGTACGAAACCACTCTTTCGATATTTCGGCTGTGTGGCAAGGAGCAGAATCTTGCTGAAAAATAAACGAAGCATTGTTGGGAAAAAGATCTCTGATGGAAGGTAGAAGTTTTGGTTCTAGAATAGTGTCAGTGTATTTTCTGGCATTCAGTGTCCCATTGATGACATGAAGCAGACAATACCATCTGCTGACATGCATGACCAAATCATAACACTAACTGGGTTCTTCACAGTTGCTTGAATGCAGTCAGGATGTAGTTCTCCTATTCTACCTCTTACATATTTTCGCCCATCACTACTGAATAACAATATCTTAGTTTCATCACTCCATATAACTTGTGACCACTGATCATCTGTCCAATTAATGTGTTCCTTTGCCCACTGTAGTCTTTTTTTTTCGTTGCTGAAAATTAAGATAAGGCTTTTTGCGTGGTATTCTACCTCAGTCCAACATCTGTTAATCTTCTCCTGGTTGCTCTTGAACTGAGAGAAACACCAGCATCATTCAGATCACTTCTGATGGCCGCTGATGACAGTTTTCCTATCGTGGAGACATAGTCTTTTTTTCTTCTGTCATCAATAGATGTGGTGCACCTTTTTTCGGTTTCGGCCTTTTCCTTCTTTGTTTTTATTGAATTTGTCTCCTGATATCGTAAAACAACTTTCGGACTCCAGATGTAGTCACTGAACCACCCACCTGTCTTGCAATTTCAGCATAGGAAAGACCATTTTCTCATAACACAATAATATTACATCTCTTCTAGGTGTCCAATCTACTCTTTTATTTGATGTCTTGCTTCTGACTAAGTATAAAAAAAATTTTACGAAAATTCCTACTTGTAATTACAGTGTATAAGAAACAGTTCTCCTTCTACAGAAACAAAGCAAAATAATGAATGTTTTCAAGTGTAAACTGATGTCAGCTTCTACTGGCAGTTACTAACATTTGATTGGTTCTCAGAACAAGAACAGTGATTGGCCAGGAAGCTAGACATTACAAACCAGTTCATAACTGTGTTTTTATTTATATTAAGTACGTATAACTTTTTTGTATTGCAAATAATTGAATTTTGTGTTTGTATTGAATTCAGTAATAAATTGGTCTTTAAAATGATATATACAAGTTTGCATTTTGCGAAACGTAGCATTTCCTATAAGCATACAAAGTTCAAAAACATAAAAATTTCCAAAAGTGTCCACAATTTTGCCCACCACTGTATCTCTGTATCAAATCATCCCTGTATAAACGTGGTAAATTTGGTCCCTGTAATATACACAGTAGCCATGTATAATGCCATATCTAGGTTGTTTTTTTTTTTTTTTTTGTTTTTTTTTGTTGTTGTTTTAAAAATGACTTATTTATACATAAATTAAAACTCCAGTTATTGATAAATATGACTAATGTAATGTATTTCTCCTACATTTAGGCCAAATACAATATCCATCAGAATGAAACGGGGGAATACAGCATTATGGAATGTACTGGCATTGGTTTGGAAAGGTGATGTAAAGGTATTACTATTTATGAATATTATTTCAGCTTTAAGAAAGATGAAAGATTAAAGCATTCATATTTTTCTGTTGTATCTTCATAATTGTACAGTCTACCAAGAAATAAAGGACAAACTGAATTACAAGAGAAAATACACAAAAATAATCATAGCAAGTAAAAGAGTTTGAGATTTTTCATATTAAAGCAGAAAAATAATTTTTGAAATGGAGCTTATTTAAATTATATTATATGGCTGTCCTGTTAGCTGTGTACTTTGTTAAAATGTTGCTAAATAATATGATTCTATTGAAACTGCTCTGTTGTATGTTTGTGAAATTATTTCTAAAATATATCAAAAAAGATTTCAAATTATTTATATCAATTACTAAATTGAAGCAAACATACTTGTTTGTACTTCATAGTAACTGTGTAATTTTCTTGGTCATGAAACTCTTACATTATTAATTTCATTTATGTATCTTTTGGCTTTTTTTTTTTTTTTTTTTTTGTTAACAAATAAAGAGTAATAATTATAGGGGCTAATTAAAATTATAGAATAAAATACTTATTGTGAGCAATTTTTTAATTTGAGATAATCATTTTTTTTTAACTAGTGAAAAGAATACATATTAGCAAGTTATAGACACTACATGAAATGTCATAATAATATAAGTACATGAAAACATGGCAATTTATTGAGTATAATTTTAAAAATAAAAGTTTTTTTAAAAAAAATTTTTACTACTAGGTAAATTATGCAATAGCATTTCATACACATTAAAAATGTCTGAAATCAAATTTCAAAATTAGCCTGTAATGTAGAATAATAAATATTAAAACAATTTAGTCTTAACCAAGAGTGTTTCTAAGAATGTTGGAGCAAATGCATAGATGAATGTTACTTTGAAGATAACTAGATAGTCAAGTTTTAGTTTAAATGGAATTTAGTTTTAAGCGAATTTGCTAAATAAGGATTTTATGCAAGCTCTTTGAAAAAAGTATGTAAAAAATTTGTTTTATTATGACTGATGCACAATTTATGCACATTATCCTGAAGATAAACCGATTTCTTGTAAATTATTTCAGGGTAACAAAATTATTTCTTAGCTAGACCCCTATGACATATGTATTTAATAGATGTGCAGAAATTTTAGTGTGAAATACTGAATTATATATAAAATCTATTATGAAAATCACAAAATAATTTCAAGAGACTAATTTGTTAGAAAAGTACATTTTATTATACATAACATGTGATGCATCTACTTAATTTAACCATAGAAAGTTCATATTGCACTATTTCTGTACAACAAACTACATTAGTAATAATATTTGAAGAACTTTTATAGTCAGGTATTTGATCAGCTTTACCCGATGGAAGGAAATATATCCGCCACGTTAAAAAAAAAAAAATGAAATTTTAAAAAGCAGCATTATGTATTTCCAGCAATTCACTACATATTTTATACACAGATTTCACTTCATCTTTAACAGAAATTACTTCAAACTGCAAGTTAAATAAAATACATTTAACAAAAATATTTGCATTAATTTTATAGCGAAATACATTTTAAAAACAACTTGTTTCAAATATTTTAATTTTTGATGTGATTAAAATTGAGACTTTTAATTTAGAATTGAATAATAAAAATTACATATCAGACTTGGATAATGATATGCATACTTATTATATTTATAAATTTCTTAAAATTATTTAATCAAGGTAGTGCAGATATTCAAAGTGATGAATGTAATCTTACTATATATGTAATATATAATAATAACAACAATGACATAGTATAATTTAAAATAGATAACTTTTCAGAAGTTCGAAAATATGTCTAGAAAGTAAAATATTTACGATGAATTTTGTCAATTTAATCATTTTTATACATTTACATAAACAGCAAAAACATGGAGGGAAAAATGTATTTCTTGTTCCACTTGAGAAATACTAGATGTTTTCTTACTTATTTTTTCTTCCCCCCCCACAAAGTTACCACATGCCAAATCGAATTGTATTTTTAGCATTTTTGAAGCATCTGCAAAAATTATAAATAACAGAAAATGCACTATGCAATATAGTTTAAGTCTAAATTTTGTTAGAGGTATATTGATAGTGCAGTTATGACTAAAATTACACATAAAGTAATCAAATATTACTTTAAAAAATTGCAAAAATGCAGAATCAGCTATACATACAAAATTTTACAAATGACATTAAAATGAATTTCCTTACACAAGGACACTTTCAAATGAACACACATGCGGCCACAGCAACAATGCCCAGCAAGTTGCTACCTGTACATAATTTTGAGGTGTTTTCATAAAAAACACCTTTATTTTATAATAACACAATCAGTTATTCACATAAGTTTTTATCGATTGTACTGGAACAAACACTAAAACATGAAATGGACACCATTTTGTAGATTTCGAGATCGTTTGAGGATCAGGATCAGTTATGGCACTAGACTACCGGAGTCTATCTTTGTCAATTTTCTGGTCTTCTAAGTAAATAGGTGTCACCCGAGCTGGCTTGAAAGACCTAGTAATATGTAAAAAACAGATGTGGTTTTATTATCACCATAAATGAAAATAGCTTCAATCTTCAATAATGACTAAGCAAATGTAAATTATGAAATATGACTAAGCAAATGTATTTTAACCCTAGAAAGTTCATATTGCATTATACCTGAATAACAAACGATATTAACAATAAATATGGTTGAATTCAATCAAAATAATTTTTTGTGCAGTAAAATGTTAAAAAAAGTATAAAAATTCAACACGGAAATTCTTTGTGTAAAGGAATGAATGTATCGTTGTTTCCTCCATGGTGTGTTCAAAAATTAGCAAAATGGAAAGTTTTCTTGATTAAAATATAAAGCCAAAAATTCACTTGCTTATCTGATCCGAGATTTTCTTTAATGAAGATATTACAGATGATTGCATGATTAATTTTTGAGTAATTAGTTTCAACAGATTAAAAATATAAGGTAATAAGACTAAAAATGCAACACACGCACTTCTTTTTATATTCATTCTTTTTATATTGTTGCTATTTGCTTTTAGAATTCCATAATATTTCACTGCCTATTTCCCATTTCAATAATTAAAAAATCAAAACTTGTATATTAACTACTAAAAAATGATACAAGCTAAGAAGAGAAGAAAAAAATACTATTTGTTTTGTAAATACTGTAATTCTGTATCTCTTAATCACATTTTTTTATTTAATGATTTAACAACAAACAAAATAACTGTCATGTATAACTTTTCTAATATTTTAAATTGACATACAGGGTGATTCAGAACTGTTGTTCAGAAATTTACAAGTAGGTCAGGAACATGATAACAAGCAAGAATCTTGGGATGATTATGATTGCAAATGCAATCCAGATGCACTACATGCTCAAAGCCAGAGCCTAAAAGAAGCAAGACAGGCTGCAAATAGTGATAATACAACATTTTTACTTTACAAGAAAGTTTTAAAGCAGATGTTCAAAGTTACGACTCCACTTGCAGTAATGATTTGTGCTACCAAATCCATTTCTGATTCTTCTTGGGTTTCATACACTAAGGTTTTCCTGTCACCTCAAAAACACAAAAATCAAGAGGGGACAGATTTGGTGAATGAGGTGGCCAAGGGATGGTCAGCGTGGTCAATCTATCACCCCAGAAATGTAGCTTCTAAATATTGGTAGGCAGTGTGGGAAAATGTCCAGGACTTCAGCCAGAAAGGTGTAATGTGTCTCCATCTAAGATCGATGGAAGCAAGTCGGGGCCAATCATTCTTTCACCAAGCAAACCTGCCCAGACACTAATGCTGCAGCGACGTTGAGCAGCATGACGCCAAGTGGCTCTTGGGTTTTCATGTGCCCACACATGAACATTGTGCACACTGCAGATGCCTTCCAGTATAAACATCACTGCATGAACTACAAAGTTGAGGACTGTTGCAGTCTGCTGCACAAACCAATGAGTCCTACCAGCAGACAAAGCCTGCGCGTGATACGGATGCAACTTGTGCTCATGTAAGATATGCCAAATACTGTATTGAGACATATGTAAACGTGCTGCAATACTTCTCTCTATGTCATTTTTGACATCTGACAGCACGGCTTCTTCCAGGCTATGTTTCCACATTGTTGTTACTAACACAAGTATCGTTCATTCGTGTTTCAAAACACAGTTTTGCTCAATCCATTATGCAGATGTCCAAACATGTTGTGAGCAGAAATACATCTGTTCAGAAAATGGGAACAATACAGTTCTCTAGCAGCTGTTCCACTGTAATTAACTGCCCCGTAAACAATGTGCATATCTATCTGCCAAATTTCCTATTCACATAACGATTAACTCTTCCTTAGGCTCGCACATCCAAAATATGCTTTTCGTCTCTTTATCTTGTCCAGCTTGTTGACTTAATGTTTTGTGTTTTCTTTTTTCTTCATGCAAATTAGAACAGAAGTCAATTAGTGGTGAAGAAACATTGTTGCCACTGATCAGCGGATTGGTACATGACAGAGTTAGTGAACTCTAGGAACTTGCTTGTTCCCTCTCTTGTTCTGATTTAATGTTGTTTTTAATTGTGAATACAATAAATGATAGATTTGAGATATATTCTAGTATTTTATTTCATAACAGTAAAGTATGCTTTCCAATAGACTAAAAAAGTTCCCCATGGCAACGTAGCTTTCCTCGTGACCTCTTGCATGTCTGGGTTGCACATGCGACCATATGTTTCTACACATTTCTTTCTATCTATTTATTCTTTCTATCTTTTTTCTATTTATCCTATTTCTGACCTACATCAGATTTTTGAACAATAGTTCTGTATTACCCTGTACGTAATGTTGTTATACGAAGTTCTCTTCAATGAACCAATTTTTAAATGATTTTGGAGGATGTTGACATTTTGCAATAAATGTTTTAGTGCATTCAGATTTTCTACAAAGTTTAATTTTGGAGACATATTCTCTGGTTGCCTTTGCTTATAGAAAGTTAATTTACCAAAATGAAATCAGGAGTAAATGATCTTTTTAAGAGCCTTATGTGAGGCTCTAAGACCTGAGCTTAACTGTAATTTATATGCACATGTACAGTTGGTGTGTTGATTTATATTTTCCATGATACTTAACACATACAACGATCATACATGATTTTGAGTTAACTAATTTGCTTTCCAATGAAATCAAAAAACAATATATTACGAAATAACACAATTTGCTCAAGATGAGTGCTATATGATTATATGATATACTTAAATTTCATATTTTCAAAGGCTTTATCTAATTAATTAGATATTTTATTATATTTATCTAATTAATTAGCCTTTCAAAATTTCTAAGTAAATTAAATTTCAAAATTTCTAAGTTAATTGAATAATTACATTTATTCAATGTACTAATTTTTTTTTTAAATAGTAAAATTATACCCCCCCTTTTTTAAGACATTGCTAGATATGCACATATTAGTTAACTCTGGACAACCAATGTAAAATTAAAGCACATTTGCAAATTTTCTGTTTATCAGATATGAATTATTTTCATTTTCAAAATATTATTTTTCAGTATTTTTGTATTTTTTAAGAAAGCAGTAAAACTTTAAATGAATTCAAAATATAAAATAAATTTATAATATATTTAATGATGTAAATTTAACTTACGAGTATGAAGAATTTGGCACTCCTACGACTAATAAGTGATTTCCTTTCATGAAAAGTCTCCACATACTCTGGAATATAAAAGGATTTTTTTTTTTTTTTTTTTTTTTTTTTTTTTTTTTGTAATACACCAGATTCAGCAAAAAATGTGTAAAAATAAGAAATTCAAGTTAGCAAATTACAGAAAAAAAAGCAAGTCACTAACTTTATGATATCCTCTGGCATCTAAATCCCAGATTTTGAAACACTGAAATATATAAGAAATTTTTAATTATAATATGAAATTTAATGAATGTCTATTTAACAATGAAAAGTATTAATACTGCATACTACATTTTAGAGCAGAAAATTATCTTCAATCTGTTTCCCCTCATTATTACAGTTTTGAATAAAACTACAAAATAATGTCAAGCACTAAACTTTATAAACAGAATATTCTTCAGTGTGAAAAACACATTCTTCACACTACAGACTAATTTGTCATTGGAGATTAGAAGAACATGCTATTTTATATTAAATTTTTTATACTTTGGAAGAACTGTTGCAAATAAGAAATTTCATAAAATTCGAGTTACTTAACATCATCAGTTCATCATTAAAAAAAAAAAAAAAAAAAAAAGGGGTGTATGTGATAGAAAAAATAGTCTGAAAAAATTTTATCTTTTGTGTAATCTTCACTTGTATTACATGTCCTTGAAAATAATATTACTATAAATAACTTAATGAAAATTTTGAATAAAATATTATATCCATGTGTAAGAATTATTGAATTAAGGCAAACACTCTAGAGTTATCTGCCTAAAGAAGAGGCATGTCTTAACCCTTTGTGGTTATGTCTACTCTCAGCCACTAAAGATTTTTTACCATTTCAGTCATATGGCTGCTGTCAGCTACCACAGCAAAGAACCATACTGATCTTACATTATATTAAGTCGACAAACTTCATAATCTTACATATTGTGTATTACTGTTCATTCAACAAAAATTAATTCCAACCATCTTGATTTACTTAATCTTTAAAGGGTTAATGAAGTATTTTTGAAGAAAAATTGACTAGATTTCATAATAATATGGAATTTGGATTAATTAATTAAAGTTTCTAACTCTAGATTTTTTTATAGAGAAACTGAACTACATTTGCATTACATATGAAAAAAATCCCATACAATTAGCTTGTTTAGGTACTTGGGATAAAAACATGGGATTAAATATCAGCATTTTGCAGCCTCCCTCAGCCGTGTTGGACATGATATAAAACTTTAAGTTCCATTCAACTGCTAAAAACTACACCTGTGATGAGTTACCAGTGTTTCATATACATTAGTGCTAGAGGTATATATGCATGTATAACATTTTGTTTTCAGTTTCTCTTTCAGATTCAAATGAAATTTATTTGATAAAGATTAATCAGATGCTTCAAGAAATTTTTCATAATAATGATAAAAATCAAGAATTCAAACCAGGATTTTTATTGGCAAAAACTTAAGAATTATTATTATTTTTTTTTTTTATATAAATGTGTCGGAAAAATTTTATAAATTATAATTGAACACTTAATATCTTTTTCTTATTTAATACTATCAAATTATTTCAGTTTACATAAGAATTAAACAAATCACTTGCTTTTTTTCTTTCCCTTAAAAAAAAAAAAAAAAAAAAAAAAAAAAGAATATGAATGAAATAATCTCTTTATCATTTCATTTTCTCTCTCTCTCTCTCTCTTTTTTACTTCCTTGCATGAAGTAAAGGAAGTATTGTAAACACAAAAAATTCCGGGTACCATATTTCAAAGAAAAATCTATTTAGACCACTATTAAATGCAATTTAACGATGTTTTTGCACGACATCTGTGTGTATGGACAGAATAAAGGACTCTTTACCCCCCAAAAATGATAAAACTGATCTAAAATGATTTCTGAAGAGGTTTTTTTTTTTTTTTTTTTTTTTTTTTTTTTTTGCGTGGCGTCTGTACGTAAGTATGTATGCATCTCACAAAACTCAAAACACAAGTACCCTCAGAACGTTGAAATTTTGTACATAGGACTGCTATAACATGTAGATGTGCACCTCCTATTTTGGTTGCAATCAGCCACACTAAAAGTATATAAATATATGTATATATATCCACTCTGTTACTCAGCTCAGTGAGCTCAGTTTTTTACTCTTGTATGTTGGTAAACTGTGCATTTTTTGTTTAAAATGATTGAATTATGTTGTTCTTACCTTCCGGTTAAGGTTTTTATGCCTTTAATTAACTAAGGTTCACCACAACAAAGATAATGTCTTCTTTTATTATTGTGAATTAAATCATGCTTAATTCATTCTGGAATTAACATTTAAGTTATTAAATTATCCTATATATTAACTCAGCATAGCATTCATAACAAATTAAGTCAGTTTCTACACCTTCAGTGTCTCTCTTGGTTAAGACCAAAACTTTCAGTTTTGTGCGGCAAAAACTCTGTCTTCTTGCCCACTGGCCGAACTGCTTGTTTTTGAGTAGAAACTAACTGTAAAAGTTGCTCTTTAAATTGTTTTAACTGTATTTATTTTTCTATATTTTTCAATTGAAATAAAAATATTTTGAGGTTTTATGTATTTTTGCCTTGTTGCGGAGTGAGAACTGAATTAATTGAATGAGAAATATATCTCTAATGAAATTTGAGGAAATAAGTTTAAAAGAAAAAATGCGTATAATTTAATATTACATACAAGGAAGTCATGTGGTGCACGCATCAGATTTATTTTTAATGAAGCAAAACTAGGAAATTTCATAATTAGTCCAAACGGGCTTTGTCCCTAAAGGACTATTGTTTTCGTTTTATGTTGGTTCACTATAAATGACCGTTTCACTTTTCAAACTGTTGCCACCCAATGTTAGAGTCCTGCATTATATTTGAATAATGAATTAAATAATGAAAAATCTGCATAAATGTATGTATATTTTTTGCATTGTCATGAAACAATGGTACATAGAGCCATCGAATTTTGAATGATGTAATCCTACTGTGAATATGGGCATGTGAAAGCTTAAATTTGAAATTTGGAATTTGTTTTATTATCGATTTCATATTTTGTAAAACTTTAAAGAATTTTTGATTAACAAACTCAAGGATTTCAAAGCCAGCAATGGCAACATTGTACAGAAAAAACATTTTTAGCTCCAGAGCGCGAGACTCTGTATCGGAAATTCTAAAGATATGCTCAATTTAAAAGTATTTTGTGATATTACTCTTGAATTGAATTTTATGGTTTAAGTGCAAAGAACGTGATATTTGATAAATAAAGGTAACAGACAAAATATTTAAAAAAAGGCTCCTTTGGACATAATTTAAAATTTGAAACCTTTCAGATTCTCTTTTTTAACATTTTGTGTGTTACCTTTTATTATTATTATTTTAAATAAGAACTTGTTTTCAATTCACAAAAGAACATGGAAATAATTTTTAGTCAAGCATATCTGCACATAAAAAACAGTGAATGCCTTTATAGCAGTAGTCCATCAGTGATGTCAATATCTTGAAGAGGGGGCAGTATTATGTAGCACTCGCAAAAAAATAGATGATATATTAATATACTACTTAGCAAACATTTACAGACACAAATGCATTTAGCTTCATCTTTAACTGAAATGATTTTAAATCAAATTTGTATTCCAGTATGTAATTTAATAATAAATAAATAATAGATAAATATAATGAATTATTGGTTCCAACACAATAAAAAGCTTATAATAATTGAATTTATTTAGGAAAAGATTTGAATGGCTTTTTTTTTTTTTTCCCCCCCTCTTTCATTTCTTACCTTCGCAATTTGTAACCATGTTGTAAAGTCTCTAGGTCCATTCATTTTTATAAACATGACATAAACTTCACCCTTTGAAGGAAAAAGGGAAATTAAGAATTTCTTGTAAAGTAAAATATTATTTTTCAGAAATCAAAAACCAATACATAACCACAATCCAAAATTTTTTCACAAATACCTTTGTATCGGGAATAAAATTTTCTTCACAAGGTGATTTACTATGATCTAATACCACTGCCTTCCTGGAATTCAAATAAATAAACTCAGCAAATAAAAAGAAATGCCATAAATATGTAAATATAAGCTATGAAAATTAATTTTAAAATGATTTACCTTAAGAGATCATGTATAACTTCTTCATAATTATCTTTCTTTACACTGTAATTATAAAAAAATATATGAATTTCAAAAATACACTTGGTATTGGCAAAATATTTTTGAAAGTGGCGATTTTGAGTATACAAGCATTTTTATGTTCAAAAAACATTTTATGAGTATTCAAGTGAAAAGTCTAAAATATTATTATGCAATTAATAGCTACAGTTATTCATAATAAAATAAGACAAGTTTCTTTTAAGTGTATAAATTATAAAGCATGAAATTACTTGACATTGAAGCTGTATTTCTTCAATTATTACTTGATAAAATGTTATGCTTCCACATGAAATGAAAGAATTGATTTTTGCATTTATTTAAAAAAGATAAAAATTTAAATAATTATTTTTAACCATAAGTGTTATAAATAATGTATAATTTTCACATTTCTGTGCATTTAAAAAGCTTAGCTTTTAAACAGAAAATGCTTAATTCCCTTTTTTAGGAAGAAGAGAAGTTCATATTAGATTAAAAAATATACCTATCTAAATCTTTAAGTTCCACATTTGGCTGAGTATTAAAGGCATGTTTCTTGAAATATATATCTTGGAAAAATGAATTCATATTCAATCCAGACGATCCAAAGTGGTATGTCCGTGACACATCTGGTACAATACATTCTCTGCCTTTCCGTATATCAGGCAAGCGCATCCACATATCCCAATCCCAGAGCTAAAAGAAATCATAACAAACAGTAAATGAAAACAGATTTCTTTCTTATATAATAAGCAATTAAAATAGTTTCAAACGATAAGAAAATGCCATTTTAATGCATATAAAAATTTAATTGCAGTTAAAAAAGCTTCATTAGTTTATGAGATATATTGAATGATTATTGACATTTTTTAATAAAATTTATAATCACTTTTAGAAAGAAAAAAATCCCTAAAGCTAGCTGTGCTAAGTAATTTTATATTAAAATAACTGAACAATTATAAACAAATCAAAATCGTATGCTTAAGAACAGGACTAATTAAGCAACTAGTGAATAAATTAGTTCAACTATAACAATTAGAAATGAAAATTTATTATTTATCATCCTATTTCATATCATTATATTGATTTCATAAAATGGGATATTGAATGATTTCATGTTAGTGTTGGTGAAATTACTTGTATCTGAAAACAGATCTTTCTCACTCAGAACTATTAAGGCATCATGAAATGGCTACTTCTAATTTATGCATAATCTATTATATCTTTCTCATTCAGAACTAGTAAGGCATTATGAAATGGCTGCTTTTAATTTACCCACAATCTATTACAGTCAAAAGTCTTTAATCCGGACTCGTCGGGACTTCCGATTTCGGTTTTTCCGGATTATAGATCATCAATTTAAATCTGGTAAGATGGCATGCAGAAATTATAAAATTAAAAATATGAAACCATAACTTATGAAATAAAGAGCAATTATGCTCTAAAGGGTATCAAAATTTACAAAAAAAAGCTTAATATTTATTTGTTTACTTTATTAACCATTTCTTTCAAAGTGCGCTGCGAAGCTACATTACTCATATCGAAATAGAAAATTGCAACAGAAAACTATTCGATAGTATTCATTATAATGATGAGGAATTGATTTAATCATAAAGATGGGTACATCGAGATGAGTACTACTTTAGTAAGGTATAACCGAATAAAATAAAACATCTGCCCTGAGATAAGGTAGCGCTGACAGATCAACTTCCGTTCATTGCACTGACGTTTTCCCCCACCCCACATAGCACGTGAAATTGATAAACAGATTTGGAATGGTTAGAGAACAAATGCTATCCATTTTTTGCCAATTCACTTTTTGTTTGATGGACATCGAAACATGCTTTCGCTTTGTAGATCCTTTGGTGGCTCCAGAATTGGAAATTCTTTTTACTAATCGAAAGTTAAAGCTTATTTTATAATTGCTCTAACAGTCTGCAAAAAATAATAAGCCGGATCCAATTCGAAGGTAAGGAAAACGCTATCTGCACATTAACTAATTAGATAATTAGCAGCTATATCGTTATACATTAAATGCATGTGTAAAGTATTATGCGCACAGAAGTTGTAGCTTGAGGTTGGATTATAGATTATTCTAGATTATGGAAACGACTTGACTTTATAGTTTTATTAAAGAAATATCATATGTTTTAATCGTCTTTTGATAATTAAAAATACTGGAGGAAATTGAGAGTATACCATAATTCCTAATAGAATCCTCCTTGAACTGCAGATGTTTTGGTTTGGGCAACTACTTTAACTGGAATAAAAACATGTTTCAAAGCCACAATCTAAATGTAGCATTTATTTCTTGTGAGCAAGCTTCACCATTTCCCCCTAATGTACAGCATGATAATTTGAAACTGCAGCTGCAATGTGTAAATCAGTGTTCTGCATGGAGAGGTGTGTTTGTGATATTTTGAAAAGCATATAAGTAGGATGAGTAGCAGTAAGTTAATGAATTCTGTTACATATTGAAATGCCAATTTGGGTGGATTGAAGAGCATATGGAATAAGCTTTGATATGCTGAGCTGTGTAGGAAAGAAGTAGAGCCTTGAGGAGCAGTTTATATAATTTTTGGATCATCAGTCCATATAGCATGATAATTTGAAACTGCTGAAAGGATAATTTCATGATGGTGAAGTGATGGTACCTTGTCTAAATGAAAATTGGAAGCACCGCAATTTCTGGACTAAAAGGCATGCTACATGTTTGGGTGCAGAATATGACATTTTTGAAAATAAGTAGAATTACAGCAATGTGACAATTTTCTGCAAATAGTAAAGTCTGTATCCCGGAACGTCGGGACCTCGGCGATTTCTAGGTTTTTTTCCGGATTATAGATCATCATTAATCTGGTCGAGCATGCAGAAATTATACAATTAAAAATAATGAACCAAATTATGAAATAAAATTCAATTAAGGTATCAAAATTTACAAAACAAAAGCTTAATATTTATTTGTTTACTTTATTAAACGTTTCTTTCAATGTAAGTTGTTTAAGTTGCTTAGGTTTTTATGCTAATACTTTTTCTTTAATTCTATAAACAGACATAATTTCTTGTTCAGTTACAAAGTTCCACTGTTCAAGTCCTGTAATTGCCGTGTCGAGAATACCGACTAACTTGTCAATCGAAATTTTTTCGTTTTCAATAACCTCTCTGTCACTTTCTTCACTATCGGAAGTGCACATGGGTAAACGCATGCATATCGGACGCACGCATTAGAAGCACATGCATAAATGCACTATGCGCATGCGCAAGTTTGTGGCTTTGAGGTCCGGATTATAGATCATTCAGGATAATGGACGTACGGATTATGGACTTCGTACTGTACTAGCATTCTCCTCCAAATGAAACAAACCAACAACATAGAATTTTAGGTATTTTTATTCCCATATTCAATCTATAAGCTTTTTCTCATTTTTTTTTTTTAATATTGCTGGGTAAAATTTCAACAAGTAATGAAAGTATTTCAAAATTTAACATAACAAACTTCATCACTAACATTGTAAAATTGTAAACTGATAGTTTAGATTATATTTAATTTTAACCCCTGTATCTCATGCATGACATGAACATAACCTACAATGATATATAAGTATAGATCTTCTAAATGATACAAAGACAGTAACTAAGTCTACTAATTCATCTCTGATGAAGCCATTGCCTTTATAAAGCCCACTGTCTCTCTCACATCACTGGGTGTCCTTCAGAGATTCCATTGCCAAAAGTATATCAACCCAAATACGATAATTTCTGGAAGAAATGCCTCCACGTTTACGTGTTTAAAACTTAAATTTTCAGTGGATATGCCGTTTCTACCCATGTGGAACTTAGGTGCATTAAAAAAAAAAATATTTCCTATGATGTCATCGTATATAGTTTGGATGACCTTGTCATTGTACATAGTTTGGTGCTGTTCCCACACAAAATACCACTCAGTTGCTATCTGCAAACTTTATTTTGCTTACATTCTTTCCCTTGAATGGACTTACGTGCCTTATTCACCCTAAATGGGTTCTCAGAGAACAATAACATTCTTCCCTCTCTCAAATCAACATTCTCATCAATCTGAATAGTCTCTCTTCTCTGCCATTCGATGAATCTTCCAGGACCCATCCTCTCCCCTCCCCTGCCTTTTCAATCGTAAATCTGCAATTTTTTCAAAGGCAGACACAACTCCTCCTGCGCTGCAATAACGAACTCTGGTGTATCCCCCCTTCAGCATGAATAGATTTTTCTTGGATAGTTTTTAAATAAGAAGGGAGCAGAAAATTTTTTAAAATGGCACAGAAGCTATACTGCTGGTTTTACGCTTCATGTAATTTTACATACTGAACAAATTGGAAATAGAGCAGCATATCGAGAGTTTGAAGTGGATGATAGATGCAATGAATGTTGGAGAACTGAAAAAGAAGAACTTTAAAATATGCCACAACAGAAACGTGCCAAAAGAAGTGGTACCGTAAGTTGTCCAAATATAGAGGTCGACCTTGCAGACTGGATAAAGGAGTAACAAGTAAAGGAAATGGCAATTTCAACTAAAAATTCACTTACAAGTAAAATTTATGGTGAAACAAATGAACATAAATGATTTCAAAGGAGGGCCTTGCTGGCGTAGCAGATTTATAAAAATAAAAAATATTTCTGTGCGAACTAGAACAACAGCCAGGCAACAATTACCAATGGATTGGCAGGATAAAAAAAGCTTTTTTTCTAAAATATGTGACAGATATTATTGAAAAACAAAAACTTCTTCCATAACAGATAATAAATATGGATGTAATGCCATTAGCTTTTGACTCTCCTGCAAAAAGAACTGTTGATGAAAGTGGTGCAAAAACTGTATCTGTGCTTACGAAAGGGCACGAAAGAATGTCATTTACATGTGTGTTAGCTTGTGCCACAAACAGTGACAAGCTAAAGCCGATGATCATTTTTGAAAGAAAAATTATTCCGAAAGAAGATTTTCCTAATGACGTAATTATTTGTGCAAACAAGAATGGATGGTGTGTGAAACAATCATGCATGAGTGGCTACAAAAAGTTTGGCAGTGTCGTAAGGGATCTTTTTTCCAACCAAAAGGGTTGTTGATAATGGATTCCATGCATTGTCATTTACTTGAGTCAGTGAAAACCAAATGTCAAAAACTGTCTACGACCTTAGCAATAATTCCTGGTGGTTTCACAAAAATTTTACAACCACTGTCAGTTAATGAATCCTTCAAAGCTGAAGTCCGAAGTAGTGGGAATGTTGGATGAATGAAGGCATACATATACCAAAAGAGGCAAAATACATAGACCATTTTATGAAGAAGTTGCAGAGTAGGTAGGAAGTGCACGGGAATCGGTGAAAACAGGGTCAATAACAGCAGGGTTCAAAGAAGCTGAAATTATATCCTCAGATACAGAGACTGTAAACCAAGACAATGAATGTGATGATGTGGAAGACTTGGCCTATTTAAATCAGGATATGCTAAACTTTTTTAATTCAGATAGTAAAGAATCAGATTTTGATGGCTTCATATGATGTACAGTTTGCTTAAATTTTTTTGTGTAAGTAAAATTTCCTTCTGTCATTCAAATTTAATATCTTGTAGCGATATTTTTATATATAGTATATATATTATACTATATTAAACAAAAGGATTATACAAATTTTTATAATAGTGTATATATTGTACAGTCAAAACCGAAAATTCCAACTCCTGAAATCCGTGTTGCCTCTCAAAAATAAACATTCATTTTATAGTTCTGGAAAAAAAGAAGAAATACCGAAGAAAAAATACTTACCGAATAATGACGTCATAATTACCGAATAATGAGTCATAACAGAAATACCAAATTATTGACATAAAAAAAGTTAAAAAAATAAGATAAAAGTTTTTTCCCTCTAATCTCTGCAACGAGGTAAAAAAGCAGATTATTCACTTAACTCTTCATTCAAGTTCACGATTCCTCCGTTGTTGTACTTTCTGAGCTTTGTTATTTCATGAGATTGTTTAGTGCTGCATTTTTTTTTATCCTGATAATTTGTAGATAAACTAAGAATATTTTAAATTTCAGCCCTTTTTAATACAAATGACAGATAAGAAACTCACTCATGATTTTCCTGCTTGCAGCGTTGAAAAATTTAAACATGTTGCATTGACGGTAACACAAAAAGTGTAAATTCTGCAAAAGATGGAGGCAGGTGCTACTCCTCGATTTATAGCAGAGTGGTATTGAATTGCGACATTATTGTGTATGATATACGAAAAAATAAAGAAAAGCTGTTGAAATTTTACAGCAACAGTGATTCTAACACTGGAAATATTTGCACGAGGTGAAATCGACAAACCTTGATACTGTGTACATATAATACAATGAATAATATAATCAATTTATATATGTAATAAATATAAATTATTGCAATAATGTATATAATAATTTAATTAAATGTATCTAATACACCTTATTTATTTTGCACTTTCAATCCAAATATTATGCTTTATCTTTTCTGTCCTAAAATCCGCAAAATCCTAAAATCCGCACAACCTCTGATCCCAAACTTTGCGGATTTCTGGACTTCTACTGTACTATATTATCAAAATATCGCAATATAGTATATATATATTTTTTATAATATAGTTATAATACAGTATGAGTATTACAAATATGGACTTCTTTAGTGGGTAAATATAAGTATATTCATGAATTAAGTATATTTTCAAAATTTCTTACTTGTAATATATTTTTGAGTTATGGTTTCGTTTCATGCATTTTTCTTAACTCATATGTCATACATCAGACATAGGTCAAGATTTTACGTCTATAAGGTTCACAATGATGTCACGCAAATTTAATTTATTGCGGCTTTTATGCTGATGCAGCGTTTCTGCGTAATTTTAGTTTTTATCCCGCCATTTTTCTTGAGTGTGGCGTTTACGCTGATGTGGCCTTTCTTCCGGAAATTACCATAACTGAAATGGAATACATAAGTCAAAAATGCTCTTTTTAGCCCTAATGAAGAAGAACATATTTTTATCTCATGGTTTCATGTACAAAATATAACACTGCATGTTACTTATGTACTATTTCAAATTATAAAAATTATACTTGCTGAATACCTATGATACTTAAGGAATACTTTTTTTAGCACAGCAAACGATTATAAATTATAACTGCCCAAACACAGCAGCAATTTTATCAAGTTATTTGTAACTACTTTACTTGATTTATATGTTTATAAACAAATAAGTTTAGAAACAAATTTTATAAATTTTTATTGCCTGAAAGCTCTGATTTATGTTATGCATTTTTATTTTAAAATTTAACTGTACCTTTTCCATATAACCCAGACATATATAAATAAAAGAAATTTTAATTGGTACTTTTGAGAATTCTGATATCCCAAAGCTGAACTATGTTTGAAAAAGTAAAATACATATTTCAACAAATCTTATTAAAGAAAACAGGAAGATTCTGATATCATTTAAATAGAAGATAATATGAATAAAACAAACTTTTTCTGGTGTAGGCCAACGAGGTTCTAATTCTTCTTTGTATAGACTTCGCTTCAATATCCAACCTAGACCAGGCATTGTTTCAACTCTGTACAGCAAACCTGAATCTTCACTAGTATGTTCATATCCCTGAAAATAAATTTCAAATCTTCTTATTATCATATATCATTATATCAGAAAAATTTCTGAAAACACTACAAACAACTACAAAATAAACTGTTATATCAACTTCAATCCTTATTTTAAAAAGTGTTTTTTAAAGAACTTTTAAATATTTAATTCTATATATATAATACAGTAGGTAAGACTAACAATGGTAAAGTATAATATATATGTACAAGGTCATTCATCAAGTCCTGGGAAAATTTACATATTAATTATTCTTTGTGCTATTTTAAACATTAATAACATACAATTTATTTACATGTTTAATTAAATATGTTAAAGCATAATAGGGCTAATAAATTTGGATAGATACATGAAGGAAATATATGGCAAACTACTTATATAAATTTGAATTGCATAGTTTTTATGCATAGAATGCATCAGATGTATAAAAGTTTTTTGATTGACATCTCTTACTGAGGAAGAAATTGGTGAGAATTCTTTGATTTCTCCAGCTGCCTGATCTATTATTCTCAACAAAAATTCTTTCCTGATCAAAACTTCCTTCTTTAGGAGTGGGAAACAACTGCTGAGCAGCACCTGAGCTGACCTAGCATCATCATTCAAGTAAAAGAGTCCAGCAACGCAGAGTTTTAGATATTTTTATTTACATATTCATCCTATACTCTATTTCTCAGGATGCACCTTTTTAAAGGTACACAGATGTTTAATGAGCCAGAAAACACGAAAAATGAATTATATGCAATATTATAAATATGAGCTGCATTAAAGTAAAATTTTAGAAGTAAAGCATAACAATATTCTGCTTACTTAAGGAAAAGACATGATGAACTTAACATTTTGATTCAGATCATGTTTTCAGTCTACTTGTTATAGCATTCAATTATGAACCTGTAAGCTTACAGTTCAATGCTCATGGAAGGAAACTACAATTCCAATTTTTATCAATAGATAGTCCTATCATCATGAAAAACTCACACAGTAAGACAGTACAGGAAGTGATCTGGATGTTACGTGAACTGTTTCTTTTTTTCCCCTACTCACTCTCTACAATCCTCAAGGATTTAGGCAATGGCTTCCCTCATTTGTTTTTCATTTGTCAAGATACTTGCACATTACACCTGGGCTCAGCTTTCACATATGATCTCTAAATGATCAGGTTTACAAACATGCCTCTAAATGCAACAGTACTACAATCACTTGCACTAGGATATTATGGGAGGGCAGGAATTCAGCAATTGCACTTGCTCACAGACAAAACATAACAAATTAAATATCTGGAGCTGAAGTATAGCTTTAATCCATGAAGTATGAACAGTTCATATACTAGTCATAATACTTTAGTACTGGGCTACAAAGCCAAAGATTCATGACTCAATGTTCACTGACAGAAAATATGGTACTTCCAGTAACAGATAGTGCTACTACTATGATATCATGAAAAACTTATACAGTGAGAAACTATAAAATATCGGTCGTGGACACTTAGCCGATGGGACACTTAACCGACACCAGTTAGCTGACAGGATGTTTAGCCGACAAGGACAGTCAGCCGACAGGACATTTAGCCAACACGGACACTTAGCTGACACGGACAGTTAGCCGACATGACATTAAGCCGACAATGAGTCTTCCCAATGCTTTTAGATTTCTAATACTTTCACATTTCATTACTACTTTACTCAACACATCACACTACATTCATTCCCGCATGAAGTCGTTTCACTCCTCCCACTAATGAAATTTCCTTTCCTTGTCAGGAAGTAGAGTGATTCACCCTACTCCTCGCCACATAGCAACTACTTTTTTTAAATCTAAAATGCTATTTACACTCTCAGAATGCTATTTACAGGTTAGGCATTGCATATTTATTAATCTGGAATAGGGCTTCGGTACGGGAGTTCGTACCTCGTGGTCTGCGACCACCTAACAGAAGTAGGTTTGGTTTATGTAATTATGGCAAAGCCAGAGGGCTATCTGCATAATGGAAGGGATACCTTCGTGGAGGACTTTCTAAGGAAAACTGACTCGTATACATTTTACACATGAGGAAAACACCCATGCAGCCTATCCATTCGCAGGATTCGAAATTCGGACTGAACTGCCAGTGTTCAGTGACTTTACCGCTCCGCCGCTGCTGGGCCTAACAGAAATAGAGTGACCATTTTAGTTAATATATAACCAATCTTTTCCAACAAAATTGCCTTTTTAGGCTAGAACTTTATAAATGCATTCAGGAAAATGGACGCCAAAAATTTCCCTATTACCATGTAGCTAAAACAAGAAAGAGAAGGAATAAAAGAGGAAAAAAAAATTTAAATTAATGAAAAGTGAAATGAAAATTTATACATTTTTAACAGATATTGAGAAAGTTACATTTTATAAGAAAAACATGAAACAATATAACATATTACAGTCAAAAGTCTTTAATCCGGACTCGTCAGGACTTTGGTGATTCCAGATTATCGGTTTTTCCAGATTATAGATCATCAATTTAAATCTGGTAAGATGGCATGCAGAAATTATAAAATAAAAAATATGAAACTGCAATTTATGAAATAAAGAGCAATTATGATCTAAAGGATATCAAAATTTACAGCAGGAAAAAAAAAAAAAAAAAAAAAAAGGCAGCTTAATATTTATTTGTTTACTTTATTAAACATTTCTTTCGATGCACGCATGCATAAAGCATACATTACGCACAGCCGAAATTAGAAAATTGCAACCAGAAAACTCTTTGATGTGTATTCGTAATACCGTATTTATGCGAATCTAATGCGCATACCCATTTTAAAACTTTAAATAATAAAAAAATTGTTTGTCGGCAAATGTAATGCGCATCAATGATATGAGGAATTTATTGAATCTTATTTTATACAACAATAGATTTGTATATAAACTATCAATTAATGGTATGATAATTTTATTTAAATTTAGATACCATATTTTATACAAAATGAATTTATACATAAAGTAGCAGAACATAGAATTAACCTATTAGTGGGCTATTGTCATGTGAAACAATCATTGTTAATTAGCACTACCGTTTATACGGTACCTATCGTAAAATATGAACATGAAATAAATCGTAACATTTCTACATGAAATAAATCGTAACATTTCTATCTAGCTAACAGTTTCTACAATCAGTGATTAATAGTAAACGTCTTTATTCACTAATGTTTTCATCACTGGAATCCTCGCAGCTCTCTTCGTCAGAAGCAGATTCATTTCTTCTTTCCTCATACTCGGCGTTCCAATGCACGTCATCGTCACTGCCATTCAATGAATTTGAAATGCAGCATTTCTTGAAAGATTTCACAATCATTGGTGCTGCGATCGATGCTTTTCCAGGCAGCAGAAACCCAGTTGTGCAACAATGTGCGGTGCAGCACGCTTATTTTTCCTGTCGGGGTCAATACACGGTTTGGTTCACAAAGCCATTTTTCGTACTCCGCCTGAATGTACCCCTTAACCCCTTAAAAGGTTTATTTATACTAACGTCCAGGGGTTGTAACACAGACGTTACCCCTCCAGCAATGATAAGATCACTGCCTAGGCTGTGCATCTTCTTTTTTACGTCGTCGGTGAGATGACCACGAAGTGCGTCCAGACAAAGCATTGATGGTGGATTAGAGAGCCCACCGGGACTGCGTTTCCATACATTTCGGAGCCAATCAAGCATTAATGATTCCGTCATCCACCCCTTCTCTTGCTTTCGTATCAGGACATCATCTGGGAACAGCTTTTCATTCTTAGGGTTTTTAGGGCATGTTTTCTGTTTGAAGATTAAGAAAGGGGGAAGCTTGCACCCGTCTGCTCTTATTGCCAGCATCACTGTTACGCGTTAGTTTTTCACATCCCGAAGTTTTGATGATAACTTCCTTAGTCCCCTTCCTCCGTAATGTTGTAGTTACGAGGCATATCAAACCAAATTGGCGTCTCGCCAGCGTTGCCAATTTGCCCCATTTAAAAATTCTTTTTCTTTCGAAGTGTGATGACATACCGCTGAAATGTAAGTAGTTTTCCCTCAAAATCTGCAGGAAGCTTTTGGCATAGTGTTCTACGGCGTCTTAGAAGATAAAGCCCATCCGATTCATAAACCGATCCAGCACATCCACGGCTAGCCTTAAACTCTGTTTCGGTATTCCAAGAACTTCAGCCTCCTCTTTTGCTTTATTTCTTATGGTGTCACTAGTCATAGGTTTGTCCCATTCTTCCTCCTTTCACGTACAAATTCCAAAACTTTTACTTCAATTTTAGGGTGTCTTCCTTTGCGAGAGCTAGTGAATTTCTTTCTACTAGCTTTAGTTGCAAACAGTGCCAACTTCTGTTGCCGCCACAAGCGAACATTGCTCTCAGCTACATTGAACTCTCTCCCTGCCTTTCTATTGCCATTTTTTCAGCATAAAGAATTACTTTACGTTTGAAAGTAGCGTCATATGACATTCTTCTCTATTTGCCCTCCATTTCGTGACTACATACTCTGCAGGTTGTATCCTCTATGCAATAATGTGTCAACGATAAATGTAACGGTAAATGTAGTCGAGAAATTTGGTTGACGTCATCGGCGAACTTTGCACTTGAATCTAATGCGCCATCGAATCTAATGCGCACCCCAATTTTGAATACTACATTTGGCCAAAAACGATGCGCATTAGATTCTCGTAAATACGGTATTTATAATGACGAGGAATTTGATTTAAATCATATCAAAGACGGAGTACATCAAGATGAGATACTACATCTAGTAAGAAGTTATAAGCTGAATAAAATAAAAACATCTGCTCTGAAGATGAGGATAGTGCTGACAGATCAACTTCCAGTTAATTGCGCGCCACAACCGCAGAGCAGCGTGAAATTGATAAACAGATTTTGGAATGGTTAGAAAAACAAAGGATATGTCTTTATCCATTTTTTGCAGCAATTCTACTTTTTGTTTGATGGACATCAAAACATTCTTTCGCTTTGTAGAACCTTTGGCAGCTCCAGAATCGGAAATT